TAGGGCAGTATAAGGTATGCAAGCTATGGAGATAAACATACTCATCCTTCTCACCACCCCCTTCTTCAACTTTAGTTCCTCCGCTAGCAACTTTGCTTTTTGGTCCTTCATGCTAAGATGAATTCAATCCACTTATTGCAATTTACAGAAAATTATCAGTCTTGAGTAAACATCCATTTTGGACAAGTAGTGGATGTAGGAATCTGACCATGAATATGTATCTGTTAGTCCCAAGTTGATGGTACCATGGTAACATGTGGAGAAAAATGTATAATGAGCACAGTTTCATCCTGTAGGAAGTGTCCTAACACAATCCCAGGCAATAAGTTAAAAATACTTCCCAACAATGGCTCTGAGACCAGGAAAACCAAAATATAAGATAGGTAGGTAAGTGTCTGAAACATTATTTCACCTAAGGAAAGATCTTAAAGAGTTCTGTATGTGCTCTACTCTGGGAAAGTATTAAGATAATTTGGTTCCATAAATCCTGGCATTAGCAACTACATATTTTTTCCCTTCCATATACTCTTAAAAAATGGGAAGCTGTTATCTGTATTTGTAAGCTTCGGATGCTTATTTTCTACTGAGCTCTGTTCAATGTGATAATTATTTGCATATAATCTGACATGACACAATGGCAGTATTCCACTCCCTTTACCTGACAGAATCCCTATCAGTTTAGAACATTTAAAAAAAAAAAAAAGATTCGCAATTGGGCAGAAACATTTTTATCATAATGTTTCTCAAAAACACATTAAATATCAGTTCCTGTGACAGCACTCACAGATGTTCATGTTTGAATATTTGAGATCCAATAGAGAAAAGACTTTCCAAACACATTGGGGGCCAGTGTGTTTTCCTAGGAAAATAATACTATTCTGCACTTCTAAATGATTAATACTTTTCCCACAAGACAGTGCATGCTTCTCTTTTAAATGATACTCTCTTTTTTTTTTTGTTATATGGTTATTCATTACAACAGCTCAGAACTATAGTTATTTTTGAGACCTATAGGAATAAGTGTATCTTGATATTGAATTCAACTTCTAATTTTCAGACTTATAGTCCTCAATTTTTAGAGAATATACCATAAAAAAAGTGTAATAGAATGACTTCCACTGTCATCTCTACATAGAGTTGCATAAGCAGCTATACATGCCTGTATGTCCAGTTCTGTTTTCTACAGCTTCAGTTCTGCTCCAGTCCACAACTTCTTGACCAAAAGAGTTCTACTTTGGGGTTAACCTCAAAGATAGGTTCCCAAAGTAACATTATCTCCTCTACAAAATTGGTTTCTTCTCCATTCTCTATTTTTGCTGATTTGTATAATTATCAACTTATTCTCCTGGTTAAAACTATAATTCATTATTTTGTAAATATTTCATCCTATTGAATGGATGGTCAAGTTCTACAGATTTGTCTTCAATATATTATATTTTTCCCCTTTGTTTATTCTTAACATTATCTTTTGGACATTTATTATTTGATATCTAGGTTTTAACCTAGATAGTCCTTAAGAAAGTTCTTTCCATTCCCTCCTCTTTCTAATCTATCTTGAACAAAATTGCTTCATCTGTCTTCCTGCTGATGACATCCTATAATTCACTCTACTCAGACTTTCAGAGCTTCTTAATGTCAATTAATCAATGTTTAAACACCTTGCTTGACCTTTTATGATAGCCGCCTATGATCAAACCATAATATATATTTCCCAATTTTTTGAGTTATTCACACTTCATGTCAATCTATCAAGTTTATTTACTGGATTGATTTTCACTGCTTTAATTCTCTAAATGTTATTGGAGACATATAAGACCTTTTCTATAAAGCTGCATGTAAATTCTTTTAATAGTATATGTTAAAATATTGTTTACTCTGATAAGTTTCTTTTGCTTTGAATGGAAGAATTATACAAATGACTACATCCATTTTCATTATTATCGTGACTGTTGCATTGCTCAAACGAACCATTAGCTAAACAGTACTATAACAGCCTTTCTTGAGCTCTAAATATTATTTTCCTGCCATTTTTAAATTTCTATTTACACTCTTTATTGTCTAACACACACACTTACCCTTGCTACTACAAGGTCATATTAAAAGTCAATATCTGACTAACATCAGTATCTAGTATATTCTCCGTCTTACACAAATATGTCTTGTCAGGTGCTCTATTCAGCAGCACACACATTAAAACTGAAATGATACAGAGATGATTAGCATGGATCCTGATCAAGGATGACAAATATTTCTTATCAAACAAAAGTTATACCTTATATTTAATAATTTGGTAAAATCTCAGCTCTGTGTCCCTGTAAAGTACTCTGAAAAGAATCTACATGAAAATTCAAGCAAAGCAGTTGCAAAGGTAACTATCAATAGCAACAAGAGTCAGCTAAACTGCTAGTGAAGTGTTACATAATAGAATTCATCACAAGTATTAAGACGGAAGTTTTAAGTCTAGGGTATATTTGTGAAGGGCATAGGTTTTTAGTCTCATGTATTTATTTCTGATTCATAAAGAGAAGGGTTGTTTATATCTAATGAATTCACATTCCTTGAGCAGCACTCATTTCACTAAAATACTTCAGTTACGGCATTCTTCAGTTCTTCCTTAGCTATGTGACACGCCCTCTGAGGTTAATAGAAAATTCAGGTAACTGAGCCACTTCTATAATGTAAGCTTTTCAAATGCTGTTTGCCACTAAAATATATATTCCTGATCACTGCAGTTCAAAAAATCACTAACCACCCTTGGATGTGGACCAAAATGAAACAACAGACATGTCTTATACCATGTTTTTGCTATGCATTTTAAAGTGTAAACAAAATACGAACTTTCCAAATTTAATTTGATCTGCCTTGAGATTTCACATGGACATTGACAGGACTTCTCCCTTGGACCATAAAATAATTTTTTTAAGTTCATTGTCTTTTTTCCATTGCAGCACTGTTTGTTTCAGAGGCATAGGATGGACTAATCTATCAGTGCAACACTTCAGCATTCAGGCATAAATGCTGTTACTTTGTGATCTAGACTCTGCCTTAGTGAGCTCATCAGGTCTCAAGGCTTTAAATGTCATCTGTAAACCAACACTTCCAAATTTATGTCTCCACGCTGGACCTCTCACATAACCTGTGGGCTTGCTCATCTAACTGCCTCCTTGACATCGTCCATCTCCACTCGGGTGTTTAATGGAAATCATAAAATTTATTATGCCAATAATTGGGCCCATGTGTTATTCATCTTTTTTATTCCAGCAGTATCTAGCTTAGTGTCCAACATTTAGTAAATGGTCATTTAGCTATCTTTCTGATTGAATGTGTTAACTTCTCACTTCAAATAAAACCAAACATTCCATAAAAATAAAGCCCTCTTGGGCCTCCCTGGTGGTGCAGGTGGTTGAGCGCAGCACTGGGAAGCTGTCCACAGCCTCTGCAGTGCAGGTTCGACTGGCCGGCCAGGGAGATATCCACATGGTGCAGCAGACCTCTCCTATCTCACCTGCTGCTCCCCTCAGCAGTGTATTTCAGTCAGTCTGCCTGTTCTGTTCCCTGATCTGTCTCTGGTGAATCTTCTCACCCTGCCACACCTCTGGCCTGTACCCTGGTTCTTGTATGCATGAATAAACAAATCTTTAAAAAAAATAAATAAAGCACTATTAACCCAACTGTGTTTAGTGTTGAATATTATTGTGTACCTATTCCAGGGATTATAAATATTAGAGTTAATACTTCCACTAAAACTTTGGGTGTATGCTCATTTTATCTCTTACAAAAAAAGTGTCACCAGTATAGAAAGGTATCTATCGTTAATTTCATTAATGATACATCACAATAGGTCATAGGAAACTATATGTGAATAACATCAAAATCATCAATAGGCCATCACAAACCAGGTAAGGAAAATACTGCTCAACTTATTAGGTCTATTTCTGAGATCAATTTAGCAAGTTTAGAAATACAATTTAATTCAACAAACATATGTCCTAGAGTATACCAGGTATTGCTGTTGGCATGGTGATGCTGATTTCTTTCTCTTTTACATTCCTACGTAAGAGATGAAAGGAGGTATGACCATCAGCTGCAGAAACAGACAGCAGGTCCCTCTAATGAAGCTGGGTGTTTTCTTGCGGCTTCTCTAGGGCTGTGCTGTTTGCGAAGCTGAGTCACAAGGAAGTAAATAAGCAACTTCACAATGATAGCTAATCTCATGTGGGAGACAATGACATATTTGGTGGCATGTTATCATAACTGAGAAGATCTAAGGATCTGAAGAAATAAGCATCATTTACTGACAAAGCCTCCTAAGTAGATCCAGGAAAGAACAGTTTAGTGTGCCAGGTAAACTAATGAGAAATTGGATAAGAATAATTGTTCCAGTTATCCTTCCAAGAAATGTGTATGACAGAAGTTTAAAGTCCTTCAAATACGTTAACTCTATTAATTATCAAAAGAACTCTTAATGAATATACTTAGATAGTGAGTGAATATAAAAGATCTCAAGTGGAAACTATTAACCAATTTTACAAACAAAACAACTAAGTCAGAGAGACATTAAGAAAATTGGCCATAGTCAGAAATTTTTGTATTCACATGGTATAGGTATAACTCCTTTCTCAGAAATATCAACAGAAGATTTATAATGATAGTGGAAATAAGCAGATCAAAGTTTACTTATCTAATGGACACAGAAACAAATCACCACATTAAGGATACTAAAATGAGAAATCTGCAACTTTTTTCAGAAAAGCCAGAGATGTGAATATTTATGCCCCAAAATGCTTACTAACATAGTCACAGCTGAAAATGATACATATGAGTGAGTTAATGAGGGTTGTATCAGAGTCTAGAATAATTGGATATTATAGTTAATAAAGGATAGTCAGGATTTACACTGGTTATCACTGCATAATTGTCACTAGTGCCCTCCTTGTCTCTCAAAAGTGTCCTCCTTGGAAAATATATAATATGATCACTCCAAAAGCCAGTCTTCAGAAAACTTACCTGTTTTCTGAGATGTATGTATGTATAATGACACCCAATGCAAGTGTGTTACCCTAACATGGATATGTGTTGAGCGGGCTACTTCATGTGGACTCCTGACCCTCAGGAATCTTGAGGTTGTCAATACACAGCTTGATGCCCAAAAACAGTATGTACAACACTCAGAAATGAGCACATTTCTCCACCAGACTTTCTTTTCTTAGTGCAAAGCTCTTTCTGTATTCAGTGAGGAGACAGGAAGATAAAGGTGAGTTACCAATGTTAGCATGTGATCGAGGGGTATCCCAGGACCCCCAAATTGCACATTCTTAAGGGTCTGCCCATCCATGCACAGAAATATAAAGCACACTCTTAGTGAGAAAATATTTAATAGGATTAGTGTGTGCAGAGAGAAAAGAAAAGAAAGTATATAGTTTCTCAATGAGACACCCAGTCACCCATCCCATCATGGGTAAATATCAAGTTAAAGAGGGTTGGCCTGAAGCAGGGTCACTGTGTTCTAAAAGCTTGCCACAATTCTAACACACCTACTGTCAGGAAATCTAGGAAAGGGGTGAAAGGGCCAGGCAAGGTTGGAAGAAAAGGAGTAAATTCAAAGTAGAAATCAAGATAACAGCTGCCATTTTCAGTTTCCCCATGTCTCTCACCCACGTGTTTCTGTCAAGTGTCTCTACATGTCTCTCTTTCCTGTGTTTCCTTCCATGTCCCTAAAGTCCTTGGTGCAAGTCCAAACCTAAGAAGCTAGCAAGGCCTTCTTCCCCACGTGTCTCTCCTCTCCATGTGTCTCATGTCTCTCTAAGCCCACCTGCCATCCATGTTACATAGCTTCACCTGGGCACTCAGCTCTGCTCTTCATTGGGTGGGGCAAGGAACATGGTAACCCCCTCTTTTATAAAGATGTCTCTGTTTCACTAAGACATTTCAGGCTGAGAGTCACTAGTCTATTATAAGGAATCTCCTGCAATATCAGTTGCATAATATTTTGTTAATTACCCTTCTAATATAGTTTTCTGCCAGACCTCTTTTTAAAAATGGTCCTTGCAATTTGCAGCAACATGGATGGCACTGGAAGGGATCATGCTCAGCGAAATAAGCCAAAAAGAAAAAGAAAAATACCGGATGGTCTCACTCATAGCAGGAATCTAGAAAACTTAAATAAGGGACCAGGAAAATGAATATAAGAAAGTGAAAATCAAAATCAACAAAAATCTATGAACCAGAGACACTTTTTGGGGGGCGGGGGGGAAAGGATTGGGGTCAGAATTGGGCGTTTGCAATTGTATGGGGGAATATAAAAATAAAATTAAAAAAAAAAAAAAAAAAATGGTCCTTGGAGGAAAAGTGAAAGGCAAAAGCAAAATAAACATGTGTGCACACACACAAGCATGCAGACACACCAGCACAGCATAAAAATATTGCTCAGAGAGACATGAATCAAAGGAAGAGTCCTTAAAATTTACAACAAAGCAATTATGGCCCATATGTAACAAAGAAGTTGCCTGCTAAAAGCTCAAAAGTTACGACAAAAAACACACAGGTTTACAAAGTTCTTATTAAAATGAAACAGTATGAAAATGTGTTACAAATGCAAATAAAAGATTATATTTAAATAAACAGATGCATGCATGCGTCCTCAGGTGAGTAATGGATGTATGGTAGCTGTTACATGTTTTGATAAAGCATGGTTCAACTATGTCTCTCTCTTAAATTTATAGATTTCAAGGCAAATTCATTTCACTGAACCAATAATTGAAATGTGGACAATGCTCAGACACCAAAAGAAATAGCCAATTTAAAATGCTTTCCTGAAGCCTATGTACTTAATATATTCCTTTGATGGTGTCAGACTCAATTGTAAACATCTTAATTGGAATTTTTCATATTTCAGCTTTCGTTTGTAAAATGCCATATGGTTTACATTATAAGTAAATGTATTGCTTTGAAAGAGGCAAAAACAACAAAGTTTTGAAAAGGGAGAAAGAAATGAATCCTTACTTTTGACTTACAAAGATCTTACCATGTGGGCAAGATGATTCCATGTTCTGCCTCTGCTTGCCTTTCTGACCCTACCTTGCCTTTTAGTCACCACCAGCCATTTTCTGCCCTTTGACTCTGATGCCCAAAGTATCTTGCCAAGATCTCTAAACAGTTTTACAAAACAAAATTTGCAAGCAATTTAAAAACAAAGACTTTGCTTCCTCATCTCTATCCTTAGCACAAGAGCAAGCACACAACAGTTGCTTAATGAATCTCTGCAGCATGAATAA